TTTAACAACTATGTTAAAAGCAAAATATACCTTCAAATTAAAAAAAAATATTTATGAAGATATTGACAAATTACTTATTGATAAAATATTTATATTGACAATAAAATTTGATCTCGGACCAACATTTATTAACAACAATAAAATATTTTAAAACTAATTAGTAGCAACCTTTTGTTCACGAACTACATGGGAGCAAATTTACGTGAGACAAGATATATCGTATATGATCCATTAATTCTAAGGTGAATCCATCAACCGCTTGCATTGAAAGTAAACAAAAAGATTCATTAACTTTTGTAATATCGATTTCAGGCAGTTGTGGGACACAAAATCTCTTATTAAAAGAAGGACTTATTATTATTTTATTCATCGCAACGTTGGCGTTTAAATCTGTGAAGTGACAGTAAGAAATCGAAGAAAAGGTTCGAAATATACGCGCATATATGCAAGGGAATAGGCGTGGAATCTTGATGCTTTTCCTTTATAATCCCTTCCATTTGTTTTAATTCCATTACGTGATTCCTTATGGATTGAGATCGATTATTATATACAAATCCGGACCGGGTAGCGCCCCCTGAACAAAGAAATGACAAAGTTAAGTAACACCCCTTTTCAATTAATACAAGATCCCAACAAATACTCCCTCTAATTCCAAGCATATCGTCGATGCTCTAGAAGAAATTTGTAGTCATACTTAAATAGTATAAATTAGAGTAAATGATTTTAAGATTGGTAGTATTAATCAGAGGTGAAACTGATTTTTTTTTTTCATTTTAAAGACCAATTTAATTAAACAATAATTTATAATCAGGATCAAAAGGAGTAAAAACCACCACCTATTTCTATATATAATTTTACTCCATTGCAATTACATAATTTTTGTTTACCTTACCTTGACACACTTTAATCAAGCATTTAGTGATGACTCCCTCAAGTTTTCATTGTTGCTCCCTGGATGATACAGGTGATTTATGTTTCTAGCCCTTGTTTTATTAATAACTTAATATTCCGGTTCAAAAAAATAATAATGACTTTCTTTATTCCACTTTTTATATATTCGCATACATGCTTGTCAAAAAGAAAGTCTAGCGGGTGGATATGATCGTTCTAAATTATTTAAATAATAAAGATACTACTCTAGATATCTCAATTCGTAACTTGAATAACTGCTTGTTTCAAGTTTAATCAATAATCAGTATTTGGTTATATATATCAGGTGCGTAAAAAACGTTACCTGCTTCAGGTAATTAACTATAATGAAAGCAGGTATATATGTAACTGGACGATATTGAAGTTGCAGAACAAACATAAATACGTGAAGGGCAAGTTCAAACTTGAAGTAGGAAGTCACGTACATATGCAAATCCCAAAAGGAAACCCTAATTAACTGGTAACCCGAGCTAGCTAGCAACATCTTCCATTTCATCTGATCTGAGGTCCAAAAGCGCGACTAACGTGGGAATTCAGAGACAAGATCAAAACCTAATTTCACGTCGAGGGGCCGGGTACGTTAATTATTAATGGATGACAACGAGGGAAAAGATAAACTACATGGCCTTTGATTTCAACCAGTGCACCCGAGCCAGCCACAGGCAAAGACAGACACAGAAACAGTGGTTGCAATCACAAAGTTGAATTAATATTAGTCTCAGAGAAAAAGTTAACGTCGGACATGGAACGTGTCTTATTTCAAGCCTACGCGTGATAATGGTGTTGCCCCCACACCCTGGGTCGATGTGATTGCCTTATCCCTTTTACATACTTCTCTCTCAATCTCATTAATTATATTGCATCTTTATCCACATGTTCCTCCTTCCTCATTTTTATGCATCCTGGGCTCCACTTTCGTCCCCATAATTAATGTGAAATAGATCACGTCCCTAGAGGATGTAGCGGCCTTATGTATCCCATGGTGTCTTCTCTTAAATAACAACTGTAGTTTAAGCATTAACAGCTGTGCTTATATCTATTATCGCTGACAATCAGAATAATGAGGTGGCATTCCAAGTGCTGTTATTTTCAATCTGTTGAAAGGCACAAGAGATTAATACTCGATTCATAAAGTCCATAAACGAGCTAGCATGCGCTCAGTTCAGCCATGCGTCTCCGAGATTTATTTCTTTCAAATTTATTCCTATGCATGTTCTGTTTCGTCTGCAACAGTAGCCCCTATCACACACTCATGAACAAGGGTTCTTTCATGTCTTGTCAAACCAATCTCTTTACTTTTTTGCCTTTTTCTTTTTCTTTGTTCTCTCGTTTGTGCTTGATTACAACGAATCCCGGAAGAAGTCGGAATCAGACACAGTGAACGTTAGAAGGTTGCTTTTTGCATGCTTTGGCTGGCAAATATACACAAATCCACATGCTGATTGATGAAAATGGAAACTTGGGGTGGCAGTTGGCTGAGTATGCTGTGATAAATTAAAGTATTTAGCAATGATGGCTCTTTCAGACAAATGATGGGTTTTTGGTAGATCGTAGCGAAGCATAAAATTTGACATTTCAATGCCACGAAGCAACATTGGCTTAGCTTGTCATCAAATCCATGGTTTTGTAAACCAGGTCTAGTTAATTGGAATATTTGCACAGTAGATTTGGGCTCGAATTTCTAAACCAAAAGAAGGAAAAAGAAAAGGAAAAAGATGTGAAAAAAACATGATTCTGGCAAATTTTTGTTGGCCTTGTTGGCCGGATTTATGCATGCGGCTCTGATTTAAAGTTGAAACCATAATGGGCTTTCCAATATTCTCATGTGTGTCAAAGCACGAACAGGGTGAATGAAATGGTGCCGTGTCGCAAAAACAGAGGGGCAGCTCGTGAAATAAGGGTAAACGACATATGATGGAGTAACTTTACCTACATAGGAATGGCTCCATCTGAATTTACAGTGGTTTTTTCCAATTTTGGCCAAAATTTGATGGGTCACAGGTTCATGAAGCCTTTCAATTTCTCTCTGCTCCGTGTCAATTTCAGAGGCGTGACAGACTACCACATTTCCCACGTTCTTTTGGGTCATTTTCTCTCCCTCCATTTCAGTAGAATGCCCTGCTTCTATTTGCTCTGCCTGTAACACCAAGAAATTGACCTATTTCTCAACGTGATGCAACGCTATTATACATATATAAAGCAATTTTTTTTAGGCACATATCAACCAACACCTTCTGTGTGCGGATGATTTACCTTCCCCGTGACAGGGAAACAAAATAAGGCCCAGATCTGTTAGTCCAGCCCATATCAGTACTTTCATTCATGTAATCTACACCATAAGGGATCAAGAAGATTGAATTTCAGGATTAACATGATCGACTATACTTCATCACTAAAAATTTTGCATATATTTCCTAAGATGACAATGAACAAATTGTGCCTGACCTTTGTCAGTGTTGAAGGAGCAAGTGAAAAGACATAAGCAAACTGATTAAAACAGGGATTCAATCATGTCATTGCGCCACAGCATGATAGGAGTATGACAGGTTAGGTGCTTGTCTCTAACTTTCGATGGAATTCCATAAGTTGAGAAGGTAATGTTTGTTTTCCGAAGGTGGGAATTAGAGACGCTGCAGAATTCAGTTGATAATTACAACATCACTGACCACAGAAAGTTTTCTTGAATGGTAGAACCTGACAGACCCTGCAAGATTACAATGCTTCTAAGTGGCAGGCCAAGTGGTGAAAGGGACACAGCGTCTCTGGTTGGTCACCAGTGTTGTTTGAACCTCTGGAAGGTTGATGATTATTAGATGTTATCTTGCACGAAATGAAAAACAACTAATCATCTCATTGACACCTAGGACAGAAAAATCAAGCAATCTACATGCTAAATGATTACATTCTGAATCTTATGATGAACTTCATATATATAATCATGGCAAGAACTGCGTATATATCTCGGTTAGACTACATGCTTCATGTTGCTTGTTTGCGTTGATAAAAGAGGCGAATTAGGGAGATGAAGCTAATAAAGAGCAGGTCCCTAATATTTCCAAACCTAAATAATAATTTTAGAAGGGGAGGGGGGGAAGATGGGAGCCTGGTAATGAATGCAGGTTCTGGATTACGAGATTGTCAATGATGGCGACCTGCACATTTCGCAAGTAGGCGCAATTCTCGCTGCAAGTATGTTTGCGAGGATAGGAACAAGCACCAGCATTAGCAAGAGAGTAAACAACAATTTCAATATCTGCATCTCTTCATATTAGACTTGATTGACGCCGTGGACTCACGCGATGCCCCCTGCAACTGTCGTGTTTTTTTTTTTTTCTTGGTAAAGAAAGACACTTGAAAGGATTCTCAATCAGGAGACCCCCAGGATCATAAATCACAAAAATGCATGCTAATCACATCAAAGCAAATAAAGACAAGAAATTTTCAGTTGATTGAAAAGTCGTCATGGTCCAGTAGTGAAGCAGACCAAACTGAGGATTCTGGATGGAGAAACCACTGAACTAGCGAAACAAGGGAAAAAAAGTTAACAACGTGGCACAGAGGTTATTGTCTCGGCTTCAGTTGCCATCAGTTCAATAATAGTGAAATACAGTGCTGGGTTGATGATGCTGGTACTTTCCAACATGTTCACCACATCAAAAAGGGGATCCACTGTCACACGGGTTTTGTTTTTTGTCTGCAGATTTGAGAGTAGCATGTTGCCTTTGGTTTTGGCCCGGCGGCAACTCCATGCCAAGTTCCAAAATTTCATCCCACTTTGTAATTGTCTCAGAACCATTTTAAGTGGAATGTGTAATGTATTGTTTCTTGATGAGCCCAATTTACTTTTTTGAAACATTTGTAGTTCACAAGTGCCATAATTCTGTGTATCTAATAATAGGGTAGATTTTACCCAAACCAAAATAAGCCAAATTATCCTTTTACAGACATATTATTGGATCTGCTAAGCAAAGTCCAACATTTTGGACCTGCTGTCTGCAAACCTCAGTAGCTAGGAAATTCAGCCTCTGTTGTTTTTGTTGACAGCCACAGAAAAGCTTTCAGAGATTAGGTACTGATATGTCGAGGATATTATAATAAATTGCCATACATCAAGAGTACTGGATGAGTGAAGACGAAGCAACCTATGATTGAGCGATCGTATAAGATTAACCAAAGCAACTTTGATCGAATCCAAGAACTTTTTAACCTACAAAGAATGATACATTTAAGAGGAAACAAATTCCGAAATCAAAAAAGTAAAGAGGTTTTACTTTTGCCCCACCAGAAGTTTCGGAGACCTGCAACATGAAAATCTTTACAGCCTTCAACCATTGGCCAGTAGGATTTCTACACTGAACCTAGAACAAGAATGGGAAATGGTTTTCAAGTTGCCTCATCATCTGATTGCTTGGTCCATTAAATGCGGGCCTTTCCCTCGGGCCTGTGCGTCGTTTGTGGACTGCGGTTTTCCTTGATATAACTCTTCCCAGCTCACGCTACGAGACTTTTTTTACTGGACGACGAAACCAAGAAGGACCATATTCCAACTCATCATTCCACATAAGAGGAATCACCCTCCGATGGCATCATATTAAGATCCGGTATCAAGAAACCACTTTCCCCCGACGACTCCGTCCTACTTGCCTTCCAACCGGATGGCAGATCCTCACCATCCTCTGCTGCTTGTGTTTGGACCTTAGAAAGTGTATTTTCCTCAGACGCTGAACTCGGATCGTTCTTAGATGAGAGACCTAAATCAAACTGAATGACAAGAAGATCAGGTATCAAGAATATTAACTTTTTTTTGGGGGAGGGGGGGGGTTTAATGAGAGAGGGATCAAACGCATCTGAAGTTACCTTAATTCTCTTCAAGCTCTCGTTTCTAGCCCTCTGCTCCCTAAAGGTTGCACTCCGAGTTGCCATCTCCTGGGAGATTAAAGGGGGGATATTAGTCAGGAAAATATGTGGGGTACGGAAAAAATGTGCTCTTTCGAAAAAAATATCCAACGAAGACCCCATGAATACCTTTTCTAAATATATCCTTTCCTTCAGCAGGACGCTCTCCTCCTCCTTCAATTCAGCAAAGGTCTAGAAGATCGCCCAAAAAGAATCACTATGAACGCACTTACATATGACATATATAATCATGCACAGCCAATCAGAGGATGTTGACTTGCCAACTCAGATATCAAGGAGCGCAGCGAATGGTAAATTAGATAAATTAGGTGGAAAAAGAATGGGCAGCTTTACCTTTTTTCGTTTACATCTCTTGGCGGAGGCAGAGTTCCCGGTACATTCGCTCGTAGCAGTAGCTGAAGCCTGAAAGCTTACAGGGAATCAGATGATTAGGCTGTCCATCCAACGGGAAAACGAGAATCAAAATCAGAATGGAAAGTTATCGACAACTCGGGGTCCCCCTCGCCGAAAGTGGCGTTCAGGAGCACCGGACAACGGACAGCTGGTAGATAAGAAGCGGCCAGGACCGGCCGAGCACCACCAGTAGCGGCGGTGCCGCCCGGGCACGTGATGGGGAGGTCACGTGACATAATAACACGCCAATCGAAAGGGTTGGGGAGGACCCACCCCACAAGAAGGGAGGATTGTGTAATTAACTACTAATTTTATGAGGACAGATGAGGGCAAGCAAGATACATGAACATGAGCAGTCCCACCTGGGAAGGCGATAACACACCGTATCAAGGGTGTCCACCGCCGCATCGACGCACGAAGCCACCCATCTCTTGCCCTACCAGCGGATCCAGATCTACCGCTAAATCTCACTCGGTACTTCTCGACTCTAATCCAAACACACCTTTCCATCACTTTCACCCACCCGACTTCATAGTGAGAGGGAAACACCTGGCATTTCCTGGGGCGTTTTTGTCATTTGCCAATAAAAGAGGCGAGATGAAAACGTCATCTCTTTTCTTTTTTCCCGATGCTTCTCCTCATCGCCTTACATCTACCCAAATATCGCAAATCCCCACTCCCTCACCCCATTTCTCCCCGGAAAGACTTCATCTTGATTATTTAATCTTTTTTATTTAAAGAAAGAGATGAAGAATTGTCAAGATAATCTACATGGTCCGTAATCAGTTTAAGTGATGGAAAGTTTGGCCCAAAAAAAGAAACAAAAGAAGAGAAAAGAAATCCGAATGATAGATGGAAATCAGCCAAAAAAACATCAAAAAATCCCCTCAGGACAGATTTGTCCCTGTGGCGTCGTTCACGTGAAGGGCCAAAAATATGGGCTGTTGGAGGACGGTGCCGGTTACGGAGCGATAATGAGTCATCAGCACATTAAGCCCCCAAAAACCGCAAGGTGACGAAGCTCCTTCAGCGGAATTCAGTACAGCGTGTGAGGATGATATTCGGGTCAAACAAGGCATTTTTCGGAAGCGCCACTCAACAGAGATCGGGCGGCACAGAGAAGGGGACGGGATTCGCAGAGGGAGAGACAGAGACAGAGTGATGAAGAAATAAGGAGAGAGACAGGACCAACCTTGGATCTGGAGGCTTGGTGAGAAACAAGAGAGGGACGGCTAGATTCCTCATAACCATCGGCGGTGAGGGAAGGAGAGGCGGCGCCACTCCAAGAGAGGGGCGTGGTGGGGCTGCATCTGGTAGTATCGGCGTCCTTCCATCTGGGCGTAAGCCTGGAACGCGGCTGCTTGAGGCCCCAAGAGAGGGGGAGGACGGCGGCGGTGAGAGGGCGAGATTTGGGAGAGCGGGAAGCGGCCTGGGACTGCCTGAGATGAATCAGAAGCTCGACGACCACCATGTCATTTGTCATGGCCGCTCCTACCCACTCATCGTTTACCATGGTCTGGCAGTGTGGCGAGAGTGCGAGAGGGACGGAGTGTGTGGAGAGAGGAGGAGGGGGCAGTAGTGAGAGGGAAGAAGAGTAAGAAAACGAAGAAGAGAGAAAGGTACGTGTGTATATATAGGAGGAGGCGAGGGGGAGGAGAGCTGGGGAAGGGGGGTTGGATCTTGTGTGGCGGAGGGGATGGTGTAGATTCCAGTTATTCGTTTTTTTGTGCAGTTGGTCATCGATAGTAAGACTGTGGGGCTCAGCCCTTTGCGTCCCCTTCTTCCCTCTTTTTCTTCGGTGCTTTGGGTCCCACCCCGACATGTGGCACTTTCCTTTTTTACACTTCTCTCGTTATTTATCTCCGTTCTTTTATGGAGTTTAGGCGTCTAAATTTCTCTTATGCTCTAGCCAAAAAAAAAAAAACAAAGAAAAAAGAAAAATCCCTTTTGCTTTGTTAAAAAGAAGAAGAAGAAGAAATCAACGTTTTCATTCCTAGTTTATAGAAATTCATTTGTCTAAACTGCGTTGTTTATAGACTTGGCTTTAATTTATTATTTTGTTTCATGTCTTCTGCTATGCTTAACTTGACATTGTCTGTATACTTTCTGTCAACTGCTTCCCTCCTTAAATTTTTATTACAATTTTTTCTTATTTAACTTTGATTAAATGTTAGAGAGAGAATATATATATTTAATAAGAAGGAAGTTAAAAAATTATTAAATTTATAGAGAAAGTTAATAAATTTTAAAATTATTGTATATCAATAAAATATATTAAAAATGTTTTATAAATATGATCAGATGAAAGAAGAATAGTATTTTTCTCTTCATTATTTTTAAAAGCATCGTTTGTTTAACATTTGCCTGGGCCTTGTGGTTCCAACAACGCGGTGCCGTTGCTGGGGTTTGAAAACGCAACTATAGAAAGAAGGCACTTTTTCGGTTTTCCTGATGGGTTGCTGGAGAGTAGGGTCTTTGAGTAGACACTTGTTTGATTCCGATTTTAATTTATGGCGTTGTTTCTGTATTCCGTATTCCTAGCGGCGGGACCTAGAACGGATGGAGAAATTCCCCGGACTCCGAAACGAACGAAAGCAACCCCCAAAAAAAAAAAAAAGTTTTATTTTAGAGAAAACACACTCACCCTTCTTCATAATTTTGTCAAATTTTGATTTTGATTGATATAATTTTTTTAATATGTTCAATCTTTATAAAAATTAAAAATATTAAAATTATGGAGAGTTAAGTAACAAATATTGCTCAATTTTGCTAAAATTATAAAAATTAAAAATAAAACTTGATAAAATTATATGAACTCAAAATTGTACTTTTTTCTTTATTTTATGAAGGAGATTAGGAATTTACCATATAGAGAGGTGAAGGGGGATTAACAGTGCGACAGATGAAAGGAATAACAGCATGTATGATCCAGACATGGAAGGGATGACGGCCTGTTTCTAGTTAGTTTCGAAACATTTATTTTTTATGATTAAGTCGAATAGTTTTATCATTTATTTTGTTGATGATTGAGGTTTGTATGCTTTATTGAGCGGAGCGTACTGTGTAAGCGATCTTGATTTAGTTTTATCGGGACTTTGATGATCATTCTAGCCTATCATAACTGACGATCACTCTGATAAATTTTGAATATCGATTAAGCTACAAAACAGGGATGATTTCCTCGATTATTTTATTCCAGAGAATATTATGAATATTAGTTTATGAAAATAGCTTTTTTCTCTAGTAAGATAGATTTTATATATATATATATATATATAAAATCAAATGAAACGCATGGCTGGGCAAATTCATGGCACGTCAGGGGTCCGATCATGTCTGAATCTAGATTGGTGATGGTAATAAATTGGAAAAAGGAGTTCTTTCCATTGACCAGTAATTGTATTGACAACTCTTTAAGAGTGTGTGTGTGTGTGTAATGTGATGATTTAGTTATAATAGGCGATAACTCGTGCTTGAAATATTTATATACGAAGATTACAGTATACGGAGATTAGATGTTCCTGTGACACCACAGCCCAACATGGCTCAAAAATTTCTTGGATAAAATTTCAATTCAATCCCCTTAAATGCTTTAATTCCACACTCCATTAAAAAAGAAAAAAGAAATAAACTGACTAGATATCAGGGTAAATCAGATACAGCACATGGTAAATTAATACGCTGGCATGGGTACTTCATCAGCGACAAGTTTATAATTTCTTTAAGTGTGTTTGGATTTCAACTAAAAAAAATTGATTATTAAAATGTGATGATGTTTGGATAAAATTTTAAGAATTGATTATGATATTAATTTTTAAAATGGAATAAATTTTAACTTATTTTAAATGAAGTTTTGAAAATCAAGTGAAGTTTGAAAAAATTGAGGTGTTTGGATAAAATTTTTTAAAGTCATAATTTTAAACCTAAAATTACTTCTAAAAAAATATTTAAAAAGGCCCTTAGAAGCATTATTTCGGCATGTGAACGTTATTTTAACCATAAAATTCATAGAACCTGGTTCGTTTAAATTTTTATCATGGAAAATTTTTATTTTACGGCAGCTAAGATCGCATTTACCGTGCTCTGCAGAGAAGAAAAGAGTCATGAGAACTTTTTCAAAAACAAAAAATATTTATGAAATGACACATCTCTCCATTTTCTCAACAGAGCGCGGCAATTTTTTTTTTTAATTGCTTGTTAGTATTTTTTTTTTAGATAATCATGTTTAATATATGATCAGAACATAGCAAAAATTCAAACTTTAATTCAGTAAATTGTGACTGAATATTCTTGTTAGACTCAGTTTGTTAATAGCACATGGCACGTTTTAATTTGGAGTGAGAATGAAATTAGAATCCTAGCTAGCAAATACAAATTTGTACACTTGTTAATTCATACGTAAAGCAAGTAAATGGGTGGGTTGAGCTGGACTCATATGGGTTTAAATTTGTAGGCTCAATTATTCTAAAATCAATCATTTTTCAAAGGCAAGCCTTTATTCAAATCTCTTTTTTTTTTTTATATTTTTTGAATTTTTAGAAATTAAAATTTTTAATTATAATGTGTCATATTGTTTTTTGAAATACAAATTATATTTTTTAAAAATTAAAATAAATAATTTAAATTCAAATTTTAAAATATAAACATATTTTTTAAAATTAAAATTCAATTTAAATTTTAAAAATATTTTAATTTTTAGAGGGGGAAAAAACTTAAAAAAATTGTCTGAGCTCAAGTCCAGGTTTTTGTGAGGTCGAGCTTTAAAGCACAGTTCCATCAAAAAAAATATGAATTTCAAGTCCAAACCTTCACAAAAAGGAACTCAAATGGACAGCTTATCAGGGCAGACTTTGATCACGTGGAGCGTGCACCACAAGATCTCGTGAAGAAGATACGAGGTGGATGGATCTGGGTGAATTTCACGTCTCTTAATTCTTCTCTCTTCTCCAGATCCCATCTACGGTGTAAGTAAAAGCCTGTTTGGTTCAAAAAGAAAAAAGAAAAGAGGAAGGGAGGTGAGGTGAGGGGAGGGGAGGAAAGGGAGGGGAGGGGAGCTCTCCTCCAATTTAAAAGGAACTCTCCCCTCCCCTTCTCCCAACCAAACAGAGCTTAAGTAATCATCAATTCGTTCGTTGATGCCAATTGAATCAACTATTCACGTGTTTCTTACAGCTTATTACTCCCCTGAAGTTGAACGAAATTGAAAGGAAATCAACAAAAAATAAACACTAAATTCTGATGATAATTTTAAAAAACATGAAAATATATATTTAAGCGAGTTTATTTATCAGTTCATTATGTCTTGGGAGGTTTACCCATTCTGCAAAGTAGAGTTCTTTACTTATATGTATTTTAGAATGTATTGGTAATTTATTAAAAACGGAAAGCATTGTCCAACTTCCACCATTTTGTAATCCATGTGATTTTGATTAAAAGAGTTTTACAAATAAATTCAATCTGAATATCAAGTAAAATTATTCACGAGATAAAAAATATATATAAATAGCCTCAAATTTCTTGTAGATTTTTTAAATATCATGCATGCAACAGTTATACCCCCTCCTATCTGGAATATAAACATTTTTTTAATTAATCTTAGTTTACAATATAAATAACTTAGTATTTGTAATTTTTGCACTTTATCCCTGATACTTGTTAACCTTAAGTTATTGTGTCTATGAATTTATGATGTTTTTTTCACTCATTATAAATTAAAATTAAAAATAAAAAATAATATATATCTTTGGGAAAATAATACTTTTATTAGATGCAGAATGTTTAGGTTAAAAGATGTTTTTTTATATAACCTAGATACTAAAGTGTTACTGGTATAACATGGAAATTGAATCAGTAATTTAAAAAAAGATAATGAGTTAACTTTTGTTTTGTATTTTACATTTTATAATAATTTGTCGTTTGGACATTGGTCCAACGGAAGAAGAGAAAGGCGAGTGATAACGAAAGAATAACTAAAAAGCAAAAGCCTGAATGACAAAAGCTACCTTTCGGCGATCTCACGTCTTCCTCTGCTCCCTGAACCAATATTTCTCGCCAAATTTTTTAAACTTTGCTGGGAATTATTATGAAATCTAATTGTCTCTGAATTTGAGTTTTACATCATAGATATAGTTAAAACCTTATCATTTTTATGATGTGCAAAACCAACTCTTATTCCTACACTTGATCTATTATATATAGAGTTTGAAATCAGTTCACAACTTGTGGACAGAAAGGTAGGAATTGGGGACCAAATATCATTTTGGTTTGATAAATGGTACTCCCTTCTTGAGCCCTTTATGAAGTATGCTTTTCCTAAAACAAGTTCTATTTTATGTGTGAAAGTGTTTGATTTTTGCTTTGAGTTAGGTAGATGATAGATTGATTAACTACACAGATATTTGCATTTAGACGTCATTAACCACATTACCATCATTCAACCTCTAAATCTCATGTAGATGATGATACTTTATGTTAGAGGCCTTCTAACAATGACAATTTTACCATCAAATCTACATATAAGACTATTGGAAATCATTACGACAGCAACAACTGCAAGACATGGTCTAAGATATAGAAATGATCGACTTATGATAAAATCAAATCTTTCCTATAAAAAGTGACTTGAAATCGCCTTCAATCTAAATTCATGTATTTTGATAAGGGCAATCCTTGTATTAGAACATGTTCCTTTAAGTGTAACTCTTTAGATTCTATTGTTCACATTTTAAAAGATTATAAAAAATCTAAAGAAGTTTGGATAATAATAGTTAAACAATCTAAACTTAACACTTTCTTTTCCCTTCCTCTACATGATTGAATAATTTGAAATGCGGGGAATGATGTGAGCATGCATCTGCAAGAAAAACCTCTTGGTAAAGACTCTATGCCTATGTTAATAAATGTGCAAAAATATATATTCTGAAGACGACACCAGAGACAAAAAACATTGCTTTCACTAGCATCCAATATATTCTCAAAGATCAACACCTTCAAATTAAAATTAATTTCCTATCTCAGAAGGACGATAGAGCAATAGCTAGGTGGTCTACTGTTGAAGAATGATAGGTTAGATTAGATACCAATAGCTCCTTCAACATTCACAACACAGATAAATGTGAAGGTCTTATCCGTAACAACCAAGGTAATTGGATAAATACTCCAAGTACTATAATTATTACCCGACTATAACAGCTGAGTTTATAGGCATCTTGGAATGTTTAAACATTTGTTAGGTTAAAAAGTTCAATAAAGTTAATGTATACTCTGATTTTACAAAAGTTATTTTGTTAATTCACAATGAGTTTTCAACTAATCACCCACTCTCTACAACTATCACTAAAATCAGAGATCTCATCATGTGAAATTGGACAATCACATTTGATCACGCTTTCAGGGAGGCAAACAAATGTGCTGATTAGTTATCTCATCAAGCCTATATTGACAATTTATATATCTGTATTTTTGATATTCGTTGCTTGATTGTTGTAATCTTTTGTATACTGACACGACTCATCTTGTCACTTAGCATAGTTTATTTGTGGCCTTCAATTCAAACAAAAAATCTGGCTAAATAAATCTGAATTGATGTTTTCCATCAATTTATCTATATTATTTAATATTAAATGATAAAATGACCTTTAAATTAGAATTTTAAAAATATTTGAGATTTTAAACTCATTATCTATACAATGTTTTCTTCTAACAATTTAAAATAATATTCTCTCCATTTAAAAATGTAATATATTTTTTGATGAGTTGAATGTTAAAAAATATAATATATTTTTAATTTTTTAAGGTATAATCATTGCTTTTTTTAAAAGTACCCTTATTGATGGTGACTTTATATTTATTATAGAATAGTTAATATGAGTAAATATAAAAAAATATAAAAATAGGTAACTACTTTATTGATGGATGTAAAAATGTTTTATATTTTTTAAACAGAGGGAGTCCAACATGACTTCTATCATTAATAAATATTAACTTTGACAATTAGTTAGAAAAAATTACAAAAAAATTATAAATAAAATTTTCTTAGTCTTTTTTTTTTGTAATTTTTTAATCATTGTATGCAATTTTCAATCACTTTTCTGTAATTTTTTATCATTTTATGTTATCTTTTTAAATCTTTTTCTGTCAATTTTATATCAATTAACACTAAAAGTTATTTTTTTTATTAATGGTTAGAGTAACATTGTACTATTTTTAAAAGTAAAGTGAAAATATCATACAAAAAATAAATTTAAAATTTCAAACACCTCTAAATTTATAGTTTAGGAGTCCGTTTGTTATTTAACTATATTTTTTAGATTAATCAACTTATTGACATGAAATCATAATGCATATCTTTTTAAAAGTTTAATTTCATGATGCTGGTCATTTTTAATAATAATAATAATAACTTGTGAGTATTTTTTTTATTTTTTTGCTCTTTTATTTATTCCGCCTTTAGAAAAAACTGCAATCTTATTTTTTGTTGAAGAAACAAAACTTTTTTATGTTTCAGATTAAATGCATTTATATTAGAAAAATGTCATCACAGTATTTAAAAAAAATAAAATTAATATTTTAACTTGTACAAAAAATTATTATTCAAGACTCAAATTTAAATTTCTCTGTTGCGTATTATTTAAAAATAATTTTAAGGTTTGGACTAACAGAGAACTAACAACAATGTCACGGTGATTGACAGCGAAGGCAATTGTCTCCTCTGGTCGTTACCATGCAGGGGGGCATACAGAGAAGCAAAACATACCTCGTGCGACTCCATGAACAGTGCACAGTAGTTGACCGAGCTCGTGCGCTCCTAAACAAACACCATCAGGTTCAAGACCGCCGGCAAATCACTAATTAATAAAAAGACCAGTTCCCTTCTCTCATGTCTACAGTATTTATATTTTATACATCAAAGTTCAAAAGTCATGTCTTGACCTGGGCCTGGCGTGAGAAATATCAATTCATCATGGCGAAGGCATGTTTCTCCTAACTTTCTTTGCTTTATGGTGATCTCGTGACTTGTCATGAGAGAGCACGCCTGACCCCCCAAAATATCAAGCAATGCCATTACTACACATACGCCCCTCTCCCTGACGCTTCCAATTCATAGTATGACATACACGCATCACATTATGAAACAACGCAAGAGGAATTCGGAGAAAGCACACATCTTTGTATTTAGATAAGAAATTTAGATGAGAAAGGGATTAACATCTCACGAAAGACTTGTACAAGTATAACAAACACCGGTAAATTCTCCTTGCACCAGATACCTACTGCTACGGACACCTACAGAACATAAGCCCATCTACCTATCATACAACTGTAGAGAAAGCAAGACCTAATTAAATTAAATCCTACCACCGGATCCAACACAAGATAATAATACTGAAACATCTAAACAACGCTAAACTAAATCCAAATAATCCTATGTACGGTGGTCATCCGAACAAAGCGTCAAAATAATTAGAGCAGTCCCCTCCATCTTCCCGCTGAAAAAATAAGAGAAGATCGAGGGTTACAAGCCCCAATCATTGACCAGTGTCCGAATCCTTCCAGTCACAGAATACTTGAGGTTATTGCAGATCCAACCGCAGAATCCTTCGCAGGTCGCTCGTAGCGTCAGTGACAACCTTCTTAGAGAAAAAAGCCGGCAACGGCACCGAACTGGGCGGCGGTGATGCCATGAACATAGAGGATCCGGCATAAAATCCTGCCAGTCCTCCAACAGGAGACAGCTCGCGATTCGAAATCATCCCGTCCATCGTTCCCAGATCCGTCTTTGCCTGATCCGCCTGCTCAACGACGGGAGCCGGAGCCGGAGCGTCGGTGAGCAGTTCGCCGCGTTTGAGGATTTTTACTTGACCCATAACAGGGTTATTGAGGAGCGGTTTGATAGTGGATGCGGACGTCGATCGCGTCGCCTGTGAATCATCGTGCGGACGTAAAGGACCCCGCTTCGGACGGTTGGGGCGGCCACGGCCGCTCCGGCTGGCTTTAGGGTTAGGAGCGGGATGAGACGTCAAAACTTTCATTTTGGGGAGAGAAGAGGGAAGGGGTTGGGGAAAAGATGAATTGTTTAAGCAATCTCGAGGATGGATGACGGCCACACCCATCTGGCTGGATAATCAGAGACAGGGGAAGGGATTTGGGAAGAGAGGAAAAATGAAAGCGGATTGTGGAAGGGATTCGATACGGAAGATTACAATGAGCAATGAGAAGGGCAAGTAGGACTTCAATTTGTAAGGACGGAGCAGAGGAGTCCACAAAAAGGGCCGCAGTCTTACATCACTCTAGACATCGGGAGTGTACTGCACGCGCTGACAGGCTCAGCCAAGAAGTGTTTCACGCGTTGCGAGGAGAGCGTGACGAGAGCGCGTGAAATCGTTAAAAAAAAAAAAAAAAGAGGAGTGGGGAGAGGAATGGCGGCACCTGGAACGCGGCCGTAGGGGCAAATGGGAAGAGGGGTCATATGACGTGGGTTCGTAACATCCGGAGACATGCTTATCCTCAAGGCTCAAACTCCGCGCTTACCCCTCGCTCCTACGATTAATTACACAGGCTGCCATCCCGCTCCACGGGAGGTCCACGCGACGGACAAACAAATGGAAGAGACTATTATGGTTGTGTTGAGAGGTAATAACATAAATAGGGAGGGAGTTGATTGTAATCTCGCCAAAAGAAATAGTGCATGGGCGGGGGTAAAGTGGGAAAGTTGTAAAAGAAAGTGGAGTCCCGTTGGGGGAATACAAGTGGGAAGTAAGGATTGGATGACATGGCATTCACATTGAAACCGACAACCTTGCTAGAGTAGTCAGAAGAAGGCGGCAAGGCTCCCTGTCGTTGAGCCCGAAAGTTCCCTTCCACCTCCCCCACATTTTTGCTTTTCTCTACATTTTTTTTTATAAAAAAATATAACTTTATTCACTCGCTGTTCTCTTCCTTTTTCGCTTTCAATTTCTGATTGGCGACACCGAAACGGTGCGTATGTCAATCCCATTCATTCATTTACTATTCCCAGATCATACCATATCATACGAATACAAAAGTAGAGTCGCAGATCTGCACACGGGCCTCAGGCCATTCCATGCAGGTGAGCGTTTGATCGATTCGATCAATTCGATTTAATTTTTTTTACAATTAATTGATGAAATTATATACAAAATTTGAATCAAATTAAATTAAATCTAAATTAAATTATAATTTAATCGATCTATTTAATTAATGAGCTTTAATTTAAATCTACGAAATTTAATTCTTTACATTTATTTTTATCTAATTTTTTTAATGTAAAAGGCTCAACAAAAAAATGACAATTTTATACCATAATTCGTGAGAAAATTAATAAAATTCGGTATTATTATATTAAAAAATAAATTATAGAAATAAAGAATTAGAACATTACATTAAACAAAAGAATGATATTGCTATAAGTGATAGAAAGATGCTTCTTATTCATCTATATAAAAATTTATTGATATTTTTAAAAATATGAAAAGAAAAATTTGTATAATTCAATCTATTTAATTTAATAATTTTTAAATTAAATTAAACCGATCAACTAAACTTTTCTTAAAAAAATTATATTAAACCAAAAATTTAAATATATTAAATTAAATATATAAAATTTAATTCGATTTGATTTTGGTCGTACCTAATTGTATGCCATGTTTTCAGCTTTTAGGTGGAATAGAAAAGACAATTGCAGCTTTTAAGTGGGCATCAATGCAATTGGAGCGGGGGAGGGATACCGATATGGGCCTCACGATCCAGCCAGGCCCGTAGGTGGGAAACTGCCCAGTCGATTTTTCTGAGATTGTAGTGCCAAGAATCAAAATTTGGAATCTCCGAGGCATGCTGAATGCTGCATCCTGCATTGCATGCTACTACTGCATCAGATATAACGAAGTTTGAACTTTTAAAGTATTCCAGTACGTGTCATTTATGCCTGTCTACTTGTAACGCGTCCATCCTCCTTGTCGCTTCGTCGAACCCTTTGACCACAATCTGTGTCACGTTGATTCTTGCTTTTCTCCCTCCAGTTTCTGGGATATTCACGTGTGATGCCTTTCTTTAACATTCCCAGCACGACAAATGTGTGGTTTCCTTTCCTCTTTTCTTCTCTTTAATACGCCTTATTAAAGAATCGAAATCCCCACCTCTACACATTTTAAAGATGCCTTCACCCCAATTTGAATTGTTGTTTTCACTGTGTTTAATTCATTCGTCCATATTATGGCCGCCAGTTATTCTCATGAGAAAACGACGCATCAGGCATGGTTATTGAAAGGCAGTGAAAAACATAACTCACAAATTCTGTTCGTTCATCAGTTTTTGTTTACCCAATACAACAATTTACAGACATAACAAAAAACTAATTAAAAAAATTGCGCTATCTATACTATAATTTTAATATTATAGGAAGAGGCATGACACGTATGAAAAGGCAGGAGAGAAGAAAATATGAATGTGGATTCTGCAGCAGCGCACAAGTTCACATGATGGTTGGGGCGCGCTTAACGTATTCAGTCCCCTCTCTCCTCCACTGCCCCTCTGTGCGCGCACAGAATGAGTGAGAAAGACAGTTAAGTGAATCCCTGCATTTGGGTTAAAATACAAAAGGTCATTCAAATATATTATGCGGTTGATTGAGTTGAATAATTAAAGTGTTAGATTCAATATAAATAAAAGAGATTACCCCGAAAACTTGATAAAGGTTATAATAAATAAATATATTAAAATTTCATCAATTATAAATATTAAACTATTGGTACGAAAAGATACGGTCTCAAGTGATATTGAAATTTGTAAAAGTATCTTAATAAAACAGGTTGATTATTAAAATAGAGAATATTAAATAAAGATCATGTCATGAGTTTCGCGAAATCTCTAATTATTTGGCAAAATGTGTTAGATCTCAAGGAAAAAATATCACTACTCTGACACCATAAATAAAAGGCAAAGATATAAAAAAAAACCAATACTCAACTAAAAACTCATATTTTACACTTTTTAGTCTTTAAATTTAACAGTTAATTTTTAATTTAGACTTATAATTTATTGTGCTTCAATAAAATTAAATACTTGTTCTATTAAAATTTTATATCTTTTTATATTTAAGTAAATTGTAATAAAAAAACTCAAGACTTTTTTTATTATTAATTGAGATTCAATATTTCTAGCATATCTAATATTTATTGTTGACACATGAACACACTGCAATGACAAATCCTAGACAAATCCTAAAGGTTTTGATGAAAAAGGTTGTGCTTTTTTTTATAATTCAAATAGAGTCCTTTCCGTATCAATTTCGGAGAGGTCTCCACAGGCTAACTCGCTCCAGGTGTTCTTGGCACATTGAAGTGAAGACACATGAAAATGAAGCTTCTTTTCTTGCTGCCTGTACTGCTTCCTTTTCTTCAAGGCCCCGTTCGGGTTTCTGTTGCGGCCGAACCACCGTTTCTCTCACCTCAACTCCCACCTCTGTCCCCAACATCAATGGCGGCATTTTCTCCAGGTACTCACTCGTTCCATTTTCACCTACCTTTCTCTTTGTTTTGTTTGCTGTCTCTTTCGCCTACCTGTCTCCGCGGATACCTTCTATGTCATTTCATTTCAGTTTGAATTTCAAAACATACCACCTGCATTTTATGTATTTCCCTCTTCCTGATTTGGCCCATATTCACCTTGCTGATGCTTTCTTCAGTTTGTTGAATCTTGAAACGATTAGAACCTTTCCGTGCTACTGATGCTTGCTTTCGTTCCATGCTAATCAGACGTTCAGGCGGGGAATGAATGGAACCGAACAGATTCAGACGTGAAAGTGGTAGTTGCCATCGTCGTGGCCGGCACTGCACTTGGTGCGGTCATTTTGTCTCTGTCATGCTACTGGCTTTATTACAGGAAGTGTCCTTCCAAATTAAGCAGTGAAAATGTCCAAAGCTCAGGTATTTCAATATTCCACCTGTGTTTGCTCCACAATTCCTAAAGCAAGACAACTTCATTGCTTCAACAATACTTCCTGAGATTTGCTTTTTCTTGTCTTTCTTTGGCATTCAAGATGCGGAGAAAGGGCCGGCAACAGCTCCATCTTTGAGAAAATTTGTTTCCTTCAAGATGGATGGTAAGAAGGGGTCCGTTCCAATAATTGATCATAAGACCATAGAAAAAGCGACGAACAATTTTCTGGAAAGTAACATCTTGGGAGAGGGCGGATTTGGATGCGTTTACAAAGCTCGATTAGATGATAACTTGGACGTTGCCGTCAAGAAATTGCACTGTGAAAGCCAGGACGCTGAGAGAGAATTTCAGGTTTTATATCTGCTAAGAATTCATTTGGCTTCTCTGTTTCAAAATCCAGCTAAGTGGTTGCATGGAATTACAGAACGAGGTGGACTTGTTGAGTAAAATTCAGCATCCAAATGTAATCTCTTTCCTGGGCTGTAGCAGTAATGGCGACACGAGGTTTATTGTCTATGAATTGATGCGAAAGGGATCGCTGGAGACTCAATTACATGGTAAAAACAATTTATCTTGTGCCTTATTTACCCCATAGAAAATGGATTTTAACGATCATGAGGTCACTTATTGATACTAATGCTGTTTTCCGCATACTGTTAATTGTTAATTTGAAAGGACCCTCTCACGGCTCGGCGTTGACTTGGCACATGAGGATAAAGATTGCTCTTGACACAGCAAGGTTAGCTTCCTTAATCAAACTTCGGTCACTCTCGTGCTCGATGCCTGTATTAACATATTGAGTTGTGTTTGCTGTCAACCAGAGGATTAGAATACCTGCATGAAATCTGTAACCCTCCGGTGATCCATAGAGATCTGAAATCATCTAATATTCTTTTAGACACAAATTTCAATGCCAAGGTAACATCTTGTTGCAGTTACAGTCCTCGGTCCTTTTTTGAGCTAAATGCTTCCTCTTCTACAATAAGTTGGCTGGGTAATTAATTGCATTCACCAAGGCTTGTTTCTGGGTGAGCTCATGTACGTGTATTGGTGGATTCAGATTTCCGATTTCGGTCTTGCCATAGCTGATAGGTCCCAAGACAAGAATGACATTAAACTCTCAGGCACATTGGGATATGTAGCCCCGGAGTATATATTAGATGGTGAGCCAATCAAACTATGTTATCCTTTCCCTGCATATGCGTTGTTCTGACACTTTGCTGCGTGCTTTGCATATATTGCTGAGCTTCCGGCAAACCAGATCCAATATATTGTTTCTTTTGGACGCATGGGGACTTTAATGATGTCATGAGGTTTGAAACGTATGATATGATCTGTGCATCCAGCGCTTGTCTTCCCCAACTGACAGAAGGCCGGGCATTTATTAGATTATTAAATTTGAATGTGGTGTGTGAGTCCCACTTCAAAATCTCCCGAGTCTCGCAGCTCAAGTTGCTAATTTTCAATGATAAAATAATCAAACTGGTACTTGCAACTGAAACCTGACCTCACTTGACAAGTATGTGGGAGGCACCGGCAAGGTGGATTTGATTCTTGTGAAAAGATGATAAATTTAAAAGCCTTCCCTCAAGGGAAACGCTATTTATAAGCTTGATGCCCGAGTGGATGATTTTTTTTTTTTTTAAATGTTTTGGCGGTTGAAAGGTATCTGCTTTTTTTTTTTTTTTATGTGCTCGACTTCAAGTGATTTTTAAGGAACGTGGAGAAATGAGTTAGGTATTAACAAGATTACGGTGCTTTAATAATGAGATACCCGATTATGTGTATAGCATGTGCATGTATTTATTTGTTGTGTGGAACCGACGAGATTGAAGTTTTTTCATATTTTGGTAGGTAAATTAACTGATAAAAGCGATGTGTATGCATTCGGGGTGGTGCTTCTAGAGCTTCTATTAGGGAGGAAGCCCGTGGAAAAGCTAGCACCAACACAATGCCGGTCAATTGTGACATGGGTAGAAAATTACTTTTTTTTCCCGCCCTTTTTAATGCCCTTGAGAGGAAATCCCATTTGGCTGCACCCTAGAAATAACAATAACGGGCGGATTCATGATTGCAGGCGATGCCACAGCTCACCGACAGATCCAAGCTTCCGAACATCGTGGATCCCAAGATCAAGGACACAATGGATCCCAAGCATTTATATCAGGTTCCTAATAAACCTCGGAATTCATAAAACCTTTTTATTCATTCAGTGGACACGCGTCTAATGGTATTTATGATATTGCAGGTTGCCGCCGTGGCTGTGCTGTGCGTGCAAACGGAACCGAGTTACCGTCCGCTGATTACAGATGTTCTCCACTCGCTCATCCCTCTTGTTCCTGTTCAGCTCGGAGGAACACTGAGGGTTCCACAAGCGTCACAGCCTCCCCCTTCAACGTAATAATAAGCGCTATCAATTTCATTCACCGCATAACTTGTAATGCTGACCAATCATTCGGGTTTGTTGACAAATGATCATACATCTTTGGCAACTCCACTGCCAAAGAGCATGGAATTGCTAATAGTGATGATGCGGCATGTAAAGTAGCTTCGGCGATGAACAGCATGTAAAGATGACATTTTGATCATTGCAGAACGTCGGTTGAGCCATTGGGGAAATCTAATTTTGTCAAGTTACGATCTGCTTCAAAGAATTCTCACATTTTTTCGTGTTAAGGCGCAAAGGTGATTGCAACTCTCCTTTTCTGCTAAAAACACGGCATCCATTGACGATGTCTCCATGCCTCCTGGCACCAAGGATCTGTGGGTGTGTCTCGGCTCTCAAATGAGTTGCCCTCATCCACAAGATCCTGATGCCCTAGGAATTCCTAAAACGTGTGATTTCACGAATATTCCCTGGCTATTACTTCTTTCTTCCCTTTTATTTCTTGTTTTCCTTGACAATTACTTTTGGGACAATGTGACAACCGGTACGGTTTTATGTATAAGATTTTAGGTCATGTTTGGAACAATGAAAATATTTTCGTGTGGTATGCATGAAAAAAAGAATATTTGAACATAAAGAACTGAAAAAAAAAAAGAATGGAAGTAAATGACACACTTCCTTTTCACCAAAAATGTTTTTTTTTTGGGGGGGGGGGATTAACACGTTCAGTCTTACTGCCCAACTATTTTTGATATTCTAGTAAGGAGTAATCCTGAATCACAGGGACAATAGATCATCATGCACAAATACTTTCGATCCAACTCGGTTGAAGTTTGAGGTCACAAAATTTCCAACGGAACTTTCAGGTACACTAATGCACGCCAATCATGGCCATACATATTTGTATTATTTTCATGTATGTTTAAAACACATGGGTGGATGTATTACTTGTCAAAGGGAAGAAAAAAAAAAAGGTGAGGTTCTGCGGCAAACTTCACCGAGTTTCAGCTGACATTGTGGAAGGAATCAATAATAGCATCGGCAAGGTATTCACATTTGGCCAACGACAATCCTGCCAGGGAAATCCTCCCATCCTTTGTCATGTATACATGCCACTTATTTGTCATATTCTCACTCTGATCAGACAGAAGTAAAACAAGCATTATAAATCCGGGAGGGAGCAGTAAATATTGTAATGCAGCAAAAACAAATAATAGATACAGGAGTCTTATAAAGATTCATTGTTTAAGGTTTCACAACCTTGGAAGGAAATTTTAAGGGTAAAAAGTAGGGAGTTAATAATAGAGGGGCTAAGAATGCGAACTATATTCACCTCAATATGTTATTTAAGAATCAGGGAACATCCTCACAGAGAAATCATTAGTTAGCAAAATAGCATTGGCTGTCAAAAGTAAGTACTAAGTACTAACCAAACAGAAAAAGATAAAGGACAAAAGAGATAATGTATATGTGCGACAAGTATTACCTGGTTTTTGTTCAAGCCCGTGTACGAGAACATGCCTATTTGCTTAAGTATAAATGACCAATCCTTTCCACTCTTGTCCTTTGAAGAAATGCTATCATATAGCCTTTGCCTCACGTTCTTGATCCTTCCAGCCATCATTTCCATCTCTGCTTTCCATTCATTGAAGAGAGCTGGGTCTCCAACAACATTGGCGACAATCCTAGCTCCATGAACAGGGGGATTAGAGTACATTGGTCGGGCAAGCCTTTTCAGTTGACTTTTTACCCTGAAATATTTAATTTAATTAGCAGGCTGTTGACCCAGACAGGATCAGTCAGGCATATGTTCCCCAAAACAAATTTTGAGACATCTTCTGTCATGTGACATCTGAGCATTTTTTGATATTGGCCCAGTTAAGCACAGCAATTAGCCTGACAAAATAGTAGGAAAAATGTTTCCATGCATATATATATATATATATATATCAAAGCTCAAGGATGTTTTAGGAAGAAATGTAGAAAATCTCGTCATGTATAAATACCTACTAGCAATTACTAAAACCTGGAAAGCCATCTGTACTCGACGTATTTAGTAGAAAGATCGACTTAGTCCACACTTAAAGTGGAAAAGGAAGAGAAGTTAAACAGAATAAACCAAGGACAACATGCAGAGGTAGTTTTTATAATTCCCCTTTCCTTAGGCATGCACAGAGCCATACAACTACAAGGACAACATCACAGATGAGCAAGCAAGGAGTTGAAATTTCTCATACCTAGCGGCAGCTTCTGGTGATGAGGAAATGATATTCATTGCTCCTATCCTTTCAGCATAAAGACCCAAATTCTTACTGTATGACTGAGCAACCAGAACTTCCATGCCACGTGCTACGAACAGTCTCACAGATGCTGCATCTTCATCAAGGCTTCCACTAGCAAAACCCTAAAATTGAATGAGTTTTTATATCAATAAATATGTCAGGGCTTTAATAATATCGAACTGTTGAAAATTTATCCTTATTAGCTAAACAAATATTCATCATTCGTTATATAAGACTAGTCTCATCAATTCACAAATGACGAAGGAATCATATTCATGCTTTCCAGTTTCCATGAATACACTTGATAAATTGATATTCTCTAAAACATCAGTACCTGGTAGGCTACGTCAAAAAATGGAATGTGGTTCTTTTGCTGAATAACATCAGCTATTTTTTCCCACTGTTCAGGAGTTGGATCAATGCCAGTAGGGTTATGAGCACATCCATGAAGTAAGACAAATGATCCTTCAGGAGCTGCCTAAAAAATAGAAATTGGCCAATTAGATGGATTTTTTCCCCTTTAATTGCATCAACTTTGAAATATAATGAATATGCATGTGTCACGATGTCTATGTTGGCTTTGACAACAGAATGCCCAAGTTGTTGATACTAAATCATGAGATGAATGCATGCTAGTACACTGATATGGCATGACAATGATAATGGTTCTCGAGACCCTAGATTATAGACTAAAGAAAAAAGAAGCATCCAATAAAACATCAGTGAAATCAATTTCTCATCCAGGATAATTCAATGAAAACAGTTCTTAGCATATAAAGTGAACACTGCATCAGGACTTAGCCTTAATATCCGTTTTGAGAGAGAGAGAGGGATTAAATTAAACTCCCTTTAACATCAATTTCCCATCCAAGATAGCTTAATAAAAAATGTTATTAATTTTTGTCGCCAACAGAACAGTTATTTGATCATACGGAGTAAACTCTGCATCAGGATTCAGGACAATACCTTAATATCTGCTATCATCCCCTCAAAATCCAAACCAACTGTCTTAGGATCATAATATCTATATTCAGACCATGGAACTCTAGCATCATTGAAAATATTCTTGTGATTACCTACAAGAGACCATATCATTATCCATGAATAATAATCCTTGAAAAAAATGTCGTGATGATGTTGAGCAGAGGAAGAATTTTGTACTCACCCCATGTCGGAGATGATATCAGAACTGCTGCTCCAGGAAAGTATCGCTCTATCAGAGCTGCACCCAATCGGAGAGAACCAGTTCCGGAAAGACTTTGGACAGTTGCAACCTGGGTGAATTTGTGGAAGATAAGTAAAGGCTAAGGTGATTATTTGCTACTTTTAAATTATACCCCATGAATATAATATCATCAAGACAGTTATATTTTCTGAATCCATTGCATACTTTTTGTTGTTTGATTACAGGGTTGGCTGGTCCAAGTAATAACTCCGCAGTTGCCTTATTAAATGCAGCTAAACCCTCAATGGGTAGGTACTGCAAATAAAAGTTAGACTGTAGTCAATAATCCAAACAACAATTGTTTCAGACCATAAAGAAAGTCGAATAATGGAAAGCAAAATACCTCTTTGTTTTCTCCTCTTTCCAGCATCAGATTCTCCGCCTAGAAAATTAAAAAAAGTCCTATTTAAATCAATGCTTCGGCATACTCAGCAAGACGTAAAGGTAGCAACAAATATGTGAAATTGTACTGTTAAAGGGGGGTGTCCATTGCTCCTACATCAAAAAACGGAACACTGACCTTCTTGACAACATTAAGCACATAAGGCTGTAGATCTTCAGTTCTGTAGGCCCCAACTCCGAGATTGAGCTTGACCTCGTTCGTATCTGCTCTAAATGCTTCAGAAACTCCAAGAATTGGATCAGGAGGAGCCACTGGAATGCCCTCAAATCGAGAAACATTAACGGCTACAGTCATAGATATGCGGCCAGAAGGCTAAGCCAACATTGACAGAAGTTAGATCAGAAAGCGGAAAAATGATCATGGAATGAAATATAATTATAGCAGGCCTAGTGAACTGACGAGAACAGAAGTAAAAACTTTAGTTCCTTATACTATACCCTGGCAGGTGAGAAGGGGTTGTCTTTTCCCTTGCTAAATCCCAGACCACTACCTCCAAAGTTCGGCTTTCCCTATTGAAATTCCGAAGAAAAAAAATCATGAGAAAGAATTAATATAAAGTGTCATATTATAAATACAATTCTACAATGAAGTTCCATGCCGAAATCATCGGGCGCAAAACATGAAACATGAAACATGAAAGCGGTAAGGCAAATCGGGCTTTCGGCGCATTTCTAACCAGCAGACAAAAGGCAAAGAAAGGGAAGGAATGGATTGAAAATTTACCTTGTGAGAATCGTGCATCGACAGTGAAGCAGAGGTCGAGGACGAAGTTATAGAGAGCATTGCCGTAGCCATTATGTATGTGGCAAAAGGAGGAAGAACGATAGATGAATCAGATAGATAAGCTACAGCGATCTGAAGTCGCGAAGTAGAGAATGGTGAAAATGGATCTAGTGACAGAGTTTAATAAGGTAAGCGAACCGAATTGGGCCGCCTCTGGGTTGAAGATTGGGCGACGAGATCAAAGGGAGAAGAGAAGAAGCGAAGGGGAGAAAGGGCGAAGAGCACGAAGCAGCAACCCGAGCAGACTTATGAGAGATGCTTGCAATATTTACGCGGAACGAAGTTGAGAATGAAGAAGGGAGTTGGGTAGCGTAAATACTTCTTCGAGTTATCTAACGGCAAAAATGATCCCTTTGAGATTGCTGCTGGCTGGTAATGTCTAGTAGGTTCCCGCCATGTGGCATTGTTTTATACTTTTATTTGTTCAAGCGCTGACTTCTGATATTCAATTGTCTGGGGTTTTCATTCTGATGTCACACTATAACTAGTGGAACTATATCAATGGTCGAAAGGATAAAAACCAGCTGAGCTTTGAATCATCAACTATTGGACAATGCCTCCTGATCATTTGCACCGGTCATTTCGATTGGCTCAATCGATGCTTGAATCATTTAACGCCTCCTGATCATTTGCACCGGTCATTTCGATTGAGTCAATCGGCCCTTGCTCCCTGCCATGTTAATCATTTTGTCATGAAATTTAATAAAGGAATATATATATATATATATATATCGAATTAAATTGACTTTTTTCAATTTGATATTTATCTGTTTAATCACCATTTATCATTAATCATTATCTTCTGTAAACATGTTACTTCAAGTTAAAAAATATAAAATATTTTAACCAAATTACGTCTTCCAATAAAATAATTAATTATTTTTAAAATAATATCATATTTTTATATTTAATTTATTTTTATTTAATAGAGTATTTTACTTTAAAATAAATATAAAATAATTTATCTACTAAGAAATTTTTTTAAAAAAATTATATTAATTATATCTTGAAATATTAAAATATTTTATATTTTTAAACACTTAAAACCTGAAAAAACATTTTTTATTAAAGAAAATATTTATAAAACTATTGACTATTGGGCACGTCATGAGTGATATAAAAGGTTCAAATATAAAATTCATAACAAATTACATTACATACCAATCATGAACAACACAGTTAGCTTAAATTTCACAAAATGCATGAAAAAATTGTATATAATTTATTGATAAAAAAAATTGCATACAGTGTAAAGTGGGAATAAAAGGTGGATTGCAATTGGCAAAGCAATGCAGAGGGAAATTCACAGTAAAAAACTTGGGAAGAACATTTATTGCAATTGAAGACAGAACAACTTAGAAATTGCTCCGTAGGATCAGGAGGCTTAAATGTAATTAAAATTTATTGTAAAAAAAAACAAAACTAGCTCATACATACATACATACATACATACATATATATATATTCATTCTCTTAACAAGTTTCCATTTTAAAAAAATTACTTTCTATTTTAACAACAATCAATTTTTTCATTAACTTTAAAAAATTAATTCAGTGGTAAAAAAAAATGTTGTGATATATTAAACAAGTCCTCAATAGGAAAAAAAACAATTTTCATTTTCATTTTAATAATAAGTAATTTTTCTATTACAATAAATGTGTGTGTATGAGGAATAATTTTATCTTTTTATAATAAATCTTAATTGCATTTAGATCCGTTTGTCCAAGAAAGCAAAACCAAAATTAATTATCCTGCAGAACAATAAACATTGCTCAACAGTCTTTGGTTGTGATTTTCCCATACGCATATCTCCAGCTCACAAAGCCCCACGGAAAAAGAATATGTGCTGCGTCCATAATATGCGACTACTCCACTTCCACGGATGTCAAGTGGCTGAAAATGCAGTTTGACGCTGCGGGTTCTAAATAAAGCTCCATAACATATAGCAAAACCCGACCACTATAAGTGGCCACAATGTAAGACGTTGTAATAATACAGCTTACCTTTGTTTATCGAAAAAGAATACAGCCTCCCTTTTAATTCAACACACCCAAAATTAATCCAGCTTAGGCATATTCACATAGTACGATGTGGCCACCAACAACTGCTTGGTACCACAAATTCATGCTTCATACTTGGCCCATATCATCTCAACTATTCTCTCCTTCCTCACCTCTGAAAACATTAATCCCATTAAATTCGTAATCCTATCATAAGAAGCAACTCAAGAAAGAATCGAATCTCCCCATCTTTCTCTGTATCTAGATCACGTGGCTATCGAAACCATGTCGTGACCATTCCAGGTAAATCAACCTACATTACACATAATCCATTCTATCCGACTAAGTAAAAGATGGAGGCTTCGACATAGAAAGTGACTGAACCGAAACTGAATTGTGCCGGTTCCTCCATCAAACTCTCTTCTAAAAGTCTATCAACTAATTCGTCCTGACGGTACCCGGGAATTTTTTGTTTTTATCTGAATGTATCGTGTTCCTAGCTTGGGGAGTGGATTCTCTCCTCTTCCCATCCTCTTCCGCTCTTTTCAATTCAATTTTTAATTATTAGATCAAAATTTTAACAGCTTAAATTTGATATATTATAACATTATTGTTTAAATGTTAAATTATAAAAAAAAAGATAAATAATCAAACTTAAATTACTAAAATTTAATTTGAGTAGTTTAAAACTGCAGTTCAATCAAATAAAAAAGATATATTTTACAAAAGATCAAATCTACCCTAAATGTTAATCTTAATGGCCAGAAAGGAAGAGGAGGAGGAGAGGATAGAAAGGGAAGAGGAGAAAATCCTCGCCCCCTAGCTTCCTATGAGAAGGGCACAAATAAAAATCGGAATGTTTGATTTCCTTCGACGTGTTCCTTACAAACTGGTTCTTAAATCTAGAGTCGTGAAACATCATCATCGGACCTCAGAAACATTCTTAAAAATCTAAACTTAAAGCGGGAAATAGAGGCGAACACCTCAGAATCCAAGCTTGGTCCGACGCCGGCGGCGGCGCTTGGCATTGTACCTGAGACAGAAAAGACCAGGAATTAGGGAAAGAGGAGGAGAGGGCAAAAAGGGGAAGAAGAAAGAGGGAAGAACCTGGTGGTATTGTCGGTCCTCGCGCGGATCCAGTAGGGGATAGGCCTGTTCTGCCTCATCTTCTTGGCCAGCTTCTTCTTCACCCTGAACGTCTTGTGCGACGGCTGCAACACAATAAACACGCTTCAATCATGCCAAACTTTAATAAATCCTGAAATACCATCGCCGGAACCTTCTTCCGATCACTGATGCCCGCCATTCTTGCTTCAGCTACGCCTCGCTCCTGCAAACGCAGCAAACCCTGGGTTCCCGGACTGAAAATCCATACGCAACAACAAGACGCGAAGCAACGACGTTTGTGTGAACCATCAACCATGAACGGGATCACATTGGGCTTTCGGTTTCACTTATGTAATGGGCCGGAAACAAATCGAGAAATAATTTGGGCCATCTCAAAGTTGGGCTTACGGGATACAATTTTTTGGCTTATTTAAGGCCCAACAATAACACCCCTGGTGTCTTTGATTGCACTCAATAGTTGGTGAGGTCCAAAACAATCGGCCGAGGCACTACTGATTTACTGTTCCTTTCCCCAAGCCAAGGCAAGAGCATCAAATGGTTACTTGGTTTCTTGTACGATTTAAGCTCCACTCCAGGAGATGCCACGTACAAAATTAAAAATGGGAAACCCCGTTCTGTTTGAAAAGAAGAATCGAATTAAATTTACATTTTTATTTAATTTTTTTTCAGTAAATATAAAATGTTATAAAAAAAATAATTCAATAATATGATTCTTCATTACAAAAATAATGTTATTTACATAAAAAATATGGTTTTAATAATTTTTTTATCGAGAATATGATGACAAATAATAAGATTTTTATTTAATGTAACGCGTTTTTTTTTTTTCAAATAACATAATGTAACGCGGTTTCCTTGAGGAAAATTTAAGTTGTTCTAAGGTTCCATGCAATATGAAGGCTAGTCCTCAGCCGATATATGCGGACTGGGGATGGCGCAGGTAACAGCAGCCTTGGTTTTTGCTTAGAAGTGAAGTCACGTGGCAACAGGGTTGGACCAGCTTTTTGGCATCGTCTTGGCCTTCGTTCCTTAATCGTCGCAATCACTCCTAATTTTGAATTATTAGTCAGTTATCTAAAGTCATTCACTAGCTGTCATCTCCCATACTCTATACTTGAACCCACTTAAGGAACTACCTGAAACACGACAACAATTGAATAGACCACTTAATTACTTGACAAGTATCAATCTTCGATCGATCGCTTAATAACTTCATGGGTGGTTTTGACATGAAGCGGATGATACTAGAAACACGCAACAAAATACACACACATACAAGTATATATTTTTTTAATGGCTGTTGTTGGCTGTGTTATGTTTACATCAAAATCTTTGGCAGTTTTTTGTTCGCACATACAGTACACCCGGCACGTGCTTCCCCTTGACTAACTGCAAGTGGGGACAATCTCTGTTTGCTGACTCTCTTCTCTAGCACATTCATGGACCTTTTTATGCCCAATGACATCGTAAAACAAGAGCATTCAGTGGAATATTCAACCCCTTCACAAGGTTCTAATTACTTTATTCAAAACCATGGTGAACTAGAGATATCGTCAGACAGGATATACGCATCCTAGATGATATCCATGGACATCTACACTATTTATTAAGAAGCGTTCGCAAAGAAAAAATGGGGCAACACGTATTAAACAAGTACACGTTACCGGTGGAGACAAAGAAGTAGTGTGCACGTGGAGATGGAAATTGCATATATCATGTTCGTGGCGTTCGGTCCTAAATTAAAGATAAGTTGTTGGACATGAGTGGTACATATCAACAAATTGCAAATGAGTGAAGAGGGATAGCATATGACAGACAAAATCCCATGTGAAGAACCATGCACATATCGTTGTCACATACACCTTGAATTACTCTTCGTTTTGTTTGTTTTTTATTTTTATTTTTATTTTACTTGCTTTGTAACGTAACCGCGTCCTATGATCAATTTCCGCACACTGTTCCTCCCCAACCCGATGCTGAAATTCTTGTCTGACCTTCAATCGCCCAGAAAACCCTCAGAGAATGAAAAAGTCAAGTATTGGCCATCGGCAATCCGTGAACGTCATCAACAGCTGCATCTTCCATTAATGCGTATACTATAAGCGTAGGTTAGTTTCCCGCGCATATTCATTCAACCACGAGATCTAAGCATGAAAATAAATAATAAATCAAAGACAGACAGAGACAAGTGAAACCTGCGATGCGAATATAATCTGTTATGTGTGCATGCATATGGGCGTTCGAGTTAGGACTCAAGACAAAGAAAAAGATACAAGCAAGCTTCTCAAGTCATATAGGTGTGATTGGCTGAGAAAACCTCATGTAATAGCCATCCCCACACCACGCAGCTGATCCTTCATATGAATAGCTGAATTCAATGGATTTTGCATGTGGGACACTGTTCTTTGGGAGGAAGTTCATGGAACCAGCCATAGAAGGCTTGTGTAACTAACAAGGTCATTGTTCTCATCACCCATGTTATGTTTTTGGAGTCTGGACCCACTTCACGCGTATGCATTCGTGGGTCCCAACCAATTTATATATGTATCCTAATTTCTTGACCTTTTGTGCACATTGCTTTGATGTTAGCTGTAAACTACTCCAAAAATGAAATATAATAAAATAAAAAAAGAACTGCCTTAATTATAATTATTTTGAGATTGAGACTGAGAGAGACATAGATAGGGATATCGGTAAGGCTCCAAATGTATCAATCCTTGACATACATGCTGCTTGTTCTCTTGTCTCCCTTCTTCTATTATTTTTTTTCCTGTCTTTTTTCTCTCATTCATCACTGTGATCTTTTGTGTCAGATGCTCAACAAAGAAACAAAAAGTAAAACAGTTTTACCCTTTGATTCTTTCTTTGGGTAAGTTGGGAATCCAACAGCAGCTGGGCTAAAGAGATGCAAGGAGCAAGGACCAAATATTCCCTCTTTTCCGTCTCCTAAAAGTCCGAACAGTTGTAATATATTCCGTGGTAAAAGTGATTTTGGTCACCAAGAAAACGAACAGCACCAATATTGGTCACCATCTGATTATGTTGGTGACACGTGGCGGGCGGGCGGGCGGGCAGCATGACGTCACGGTCTGACCCCATCATTGTTTTATTCAAATGAGAAGGTATTTTTCTATCAGCAGTTCGGCCCGTGGGACAGACCCATCACAGATGGAGATGCGGATGAGTACAGCGGTTGAGAATTGTTTAGCATGTTACATAGGTCATTCCTGCAACCCGTGAAAGAAGCATGCTGCTTAATTTTCGGCATTAAGAAAGAAGTGAGATGGGTTTGTTTATATTACCCTTTAATGTTAACTTATCTTTTACAGGACTTTTGATTTTAATTTTAATTTTAATCATTTTTTGTTTATTTTGTTCTATCTAAGGTCTCAGGAAGTAGTCAAGAAAGCTTAATATCTAGATGGATCTGTCATGGGCCGTATAGTAGCTGTAAGACCCGGGGCCATTGCCTATTACAACAATCAAGATCCTGAAGAAATAAAACTGAGATGTCCTCGCACACATATACCAAGCGCCATATGCTTGTATTTTTCTTTCGCTGAGTGTCCAAGGAACTAAGATCAATTTCACTCCATATAAAATCACATCAATTAAAAAAAAAAAAAACTCTCCCTTACGTGACGTCACTTGCTGATCAACTAATGCATATATGTTATTTCTCAAAAGTTTGCCCGCGACTGAAGGATTGTTCTATGGGCGCATGGCTATCTCGTTTCAAAATTTTGCACTTGTAGATTTTTTATATATGAAGATATAAAACAATTGAGAAAAGGAGGCGGGCTGTTGCTGCTCACGTCACAGGCATCGATTTGAGCGGATAATGCTGAAGATGATTTGATCTGTTAGGCTAATTATGACGGTTCAAGAATATTTGGTCTTGAATTATATTGATGAGTCTCAAGTTGAGTTTGACCGAATCATAATATTTACATAATTACATTGACTATGATATACTATAGCGGCAACAGTAATGGTAAACTGTTGTGAACTGATCCTATTTGCAAGTTGCAGAATTTGATCCTTGTCCTGGTCACCAGTATAGAAGGCCAGAACCAAGATGTTTTTAACTCTCGTCTAAACAGACAAAATGACGCAGAAGCTTCAATTAGAGGATTTCCTTTCATTGGCTGCAACTGGTAAGGCAATGGGTTGTTACTCATATACTTGAGAAAAGATAATGCAGTTCAAACTTCACAGAACAGGGACTACATACTAGTCGTTATCCATAATTGCCCCCTACCCCCAACAGTCACATGAGAAGAATCTGTAAGATTGCGACCTTAGATAACAGGGCGATGCCGTTTCCAATTTATATCTTATTCAGAGACGGAGGGGCATGTGATTTCAACTTGCCTACTTGAATTGTCACTTGAAGATTAGGAAATGCTTATGCAATAATCATGAGCTTCAACTTACAATACAGCCGTTTGCCGGGTAAAAAGGAAGAGAAAATAAAACCAAGGTAAGAGCTCAAAAATCAAAATCCCTGTGGGGCCCCCTGCATTATGGGTGCCAGAATGGTAAGAAAAAGAGTGCGTGTGACTGTGAAGGAACTCAACTACAAAAACACTGCTCTCCTCCTTCCGGTGTTGGAACACTTTCACAAGCACTTTGCAAAAAAGAATACGTTTTCTTTTCCCTTAGCATGGCCAGACCACAACAGCGATATCGAGGCGTCCGACAAAGGCATTGGGGATCTTGGGTCTCTGAAATTCGGCACCCTCTATTGTAAGCTCTCTTTAGTTTTCTTTCCACGTCCATATGAGCGTTTCATGCGTCAGAAACGCACTTGAAGTACATCATGCTAAATTACAAGTGTCTGTTTTGTGCAGGAAGACGAGGATATGGCTCGGCACATTTGAAACGGCAGAAGATGCAGCCAGAGCTTACGATGAAGCAGCGAGGCTGATGTGTGGTCCGAGAGCAAGAACTAATTTTCCTTACAACCCCAATGCGTCTCAGTCTTCGTCTTCTAAGCTTCTCTCAGCAACTCTGACCGCTAAACTGCATAGATGTTACATGGCTTCGCTTCAAATGACGAGACCTCCGGTACCGGAACCTCCACGAGTAACTTCGCCGAATGTTGTGTCCACGAGCACAATAACCTCCTCCTCCGTGAAAAGCAGAGAAACCGATATTACAATGTTGGGACGGAAGAAAGCAAAAGAGGCGGAGGAGGAAGAATCAGAGGCGAAGTGGGGTGTGAAGAAGGTGGAAAGTGGTGAGCACTTCAAGCCTCTTGAAGAGGATCATATAGAGCAAATGATCGAGGAGCTTCTCGATTATGGGTCCATCGAGCTCCGCCCTGCCATGCCACCTCAGTAATGTTGCCTCCTTAATATGTTCAACATTTTGCTACTTCAAATTCTTCTAGGCAAAGCCGCTTATATTCTACCAATTAACCCATTTTTCTAAGTCCCCAGCCTCGTGAAGTGCATTAATTATTTCCCCTCCAGATTCTCCAGGAAGCCTTCCAAGTAACCCGTTATTAGATAGTGCTATATGTACAGGCACAGCCAATTATGTTATGGTCTATGAAGTCGTTGTTTATGTTCCGTGGCCTTGTTCTCAGATTATAGCCTCTGCAATTAGCGTTTGTAGTGGCAGATTGCAGAGTTACTCTGAAATGTAAGGGAAGGTCTGTCAAAGGGCACAGCTTTTTAGAAAGTGGCCGTATCCCTCTATTTCAAACAATGGAGAATTTTATGCACCCATACTTCTCTTCATTCTGACTCAAAAATTGGATTTTCTTTGGTTCCCAATTAAGTCTAAATAAAATACTATCACTTTATTCTCTGCAACCGTCATAAACTCTTAAATGTATAAAAATAGAAATAACTAGACTCAACTGTGTCACAAAACTTGTTTTGTAAACTAATTAAATAACAAATAAAGTTGCTGTATCTGATACTCCTTTCACATATCCCCTATCTTTTTTAAGACTTAGCATAACTTGGTCCTTATGCCGAACTGCCAAAGTGTCAGTAGCCTTCATGCACTGCCGGTGAAAACTGAAAACAACCGTTTTACCTCTATAGTAAAAGTGTCACTTGCGTCACTTTCAAACACAGTACAAATGACACGATAAGTTAAATTTGGAATGTAAAGAGTTTTACTATCCGCCGAGACTGAAGCGAAAAGCGTAAGGAAGAATTTCCTATCAAGTATTTATGAGTTTTTACGTGAAACAATAAGGCTTTGATATTCTGCAGGAAAAAAAAAATATATTAACTGTTGCTGCATGGGATTTCATTTGGAAAAAAGAAAACTAGGACCTGCTAAAGAGAGAGTAACACCAGATGAGATCGAGTGGGTGATTAATCATTTAATCCGACCCGTCTCTGGGCCCCCTTTTTTAAGTATACTCATGACTTCTTGTCGAAATTAAAATTCCTTCTTGTTCACTGCTTGCGCCTTGTATGGAGATGGTTTCTGCTTGAAACTGTTCTTGCAGAAAAATGAAAATGATAGTGTAATCAAATTCACTAAGGTACTATTTGGTTACTAGAATGGAATGGAATGAGATGGATATGAAAAATCAAAACAAAAATGAACTGAATCACCCTTTCCCTCATGATAAGTATGATAAAACTCACTAATATATATTACAAATGTGAAAATCATCACATCTTTTAAAAATTTCATAAATCATAATTTTTAACTTTATGAATTAAATTATCCCTCCTTTTATGAATATGTTCATCTATTCCCTTTGATCATCTAAATTATCCCCTTTGATCATCACACCTTCCAAAAATTTTATAAATTATTACTTTAACTCCATGAATTAAATTATTCCTCTTGTTATAAATATACTCATTTATCTTCTTTCATTATTTTATTTTGATTTTTTTTAATCCATTTCATTTCAAAATGGAGCTTGGAGGGGTCGTTAGTGCGTGGGAAACGGATGAATAAAGTCGGTTTGGCTGCTGAGGATTCCAGTTAATATTTCAAAAGCGAATCTGTCATTTTCTAGCCACCCCCGCTACTATTGGGAATTCAATCAGCTGTAACTTTCAGCTTTTATCTTTGCCGTTTCAGTTTATTGCTTCCGTTCTTCAAACTTCCATTAAAGGCATATTTTTTCTCCTAATCATCTTATTTGATGGTCTCATGTCATCTTCATTAACTACAAATCTCGTTCAGTTTCACAATAATTAGGCTAACCAAAATTGCCCACTCAAATTCCATTTCCATATGATTAAGTGGAACAAACTCAAGGAGAATTAATTATAAGCTAATTATGTGTATCTGCAGTGCGGTTCATATGATTGCTGCAATTTTCTTTCTTCCACTTCCACGTAGATATCATCAATGCAGAATCCAATCAGTTCCTCTAAGGGGATTACAGGGCTTCCTCTCATATTTTTAACATTTTGATAGCAAGATCCGTGAGGTACTCAATAGGGGAAAAAAATGATGCCATTCTTTCCAAAGACGTGTATATTCACATCCGTGTCACTTGTCTTGCATTGTAGCAGCAAAGCATTCAATTTGATTCCTTATTACTGAGGCCTCGCAGGCTTCAACTGCTTTCGAATTAGTATGTTGGAGTATGCGTCTTAGTGTCACATCTCTATCAGTGAAACTTCATGATTATTCTTCTCTGCTTTGGAATTGATTTTGTTCCCCACAACCATCATACAATAAAGTCGCTTACACTCACTATTTTGTTTTGCTTTTGAAATCATAGCATGTTAGTCAGTCTTTCATCATCAACAGTTTGAATCCTGTGAGCCAGGTGTATCGAGGATGCTTTTAAGGTTTGCCTGGTGGAAAGTCCAACAGTTGCTGAACCTGCCGATCAAATTTATTCCCTCCCTTGTGAGAGACGAAGAAAGAAAGGGGAAAATGCTATCATGCAGCATCTTCCCTGTGCAACAGTTCCTTTTAGTTAGATGGGTTAATCAATCGGGATTAGTGAATGATTTGATGGTCTGATAAGATATCATATTGGACCCGTTTTTGGTATTCTGACTTTTCATCATTATCGCTACTTTTGTGTTTGCTCAAATTTAAGAATTCAATACAGCTAAAATGAAGGACAATGAGGTTAATTTAAAGATATACGAGAGGTTATTTGAACTCCATCAACAATCCAGGCCCTTGATCATATTAGGAACAGAATTAAGGGGGGTTTGATGTAACCAGCTCTAAGAGGTAGACACAGAAAGGGCTCTCTCAATTTAGCGTTGTGGAACAAAATTTCATCAAAAGGCATTTCACAGAGTGAAGAAAAGAAAGAGGAGGGAATTGGGCTGAAAGGTGAGATATTTTTTTTGTGAGAAGGAAAAGCAGTCAAAGCCAATGATGATTTAGGCTGGAGAGAGACAAACATAAAAGGCTTTAAACCCTTTTGTTTTGTGAGTTAACATTCCACCGAACTGACAAAGCTTATTTTAATTTCAGAAAAAGGGTACCAGTTATGGTTGATAGGCATGCCTTGGATCAGGTGAAGGAGGGCCGTTCATAAATCCAAAAGATAAAAAGGTGCGTTGGAAGAGAAAGAGAAATAGATTTTAAAAAAAAAAAAGGTTGGTGGTCTGCTCAGCTCAAAAGCCAAAATCCTTTGATATTTACAAGCGAGGGAAGAGAAGCATTCAGTTATCCAGGTTTAAGTTATTTCCGTGACATTTGGTAAGTGTTCACACGGTCTTAGTGGTTCAAAATTATAGTACTTCCCGTGCAGAACATACGCACAGTTCATCCTATGATCCCCGTGATTCTCAGTTTCCGATCAGACATCACTGCTCTTAATTTCAGCAAAGCTTGGATATAATTTCCATGAACTGCCCGCACCTTCTTATTCCAAACTATATGATTATTTTAGAGAAAATTACATGTCTTAGTTAAGTAAATTAATTACTCGTAAATATTGCAAAAGGACTTGTAAGAAGCCTATTAGTAATTAATTTCCTTGCTTAAAACTTGTCTATGATTTTTCTTTCATTTTATATATATATATATATATATATAACTACCGGTGATATTGTCATTAGATAGTACTTATGTATTATCAGATCCCAGGTGATTTTCCTTTCACCCGCCAGGTTCAAATTACCCTCCACTAATTATGAGAAATTAAGCCATTTCTCACTCGACCCAACTGTTGTAGATAACAATTCTTATGACCCGTATGTGTTTGGATCTTTTTCCCGGCCAGACCAAATGAGAAGAATCGATGTCGGGTCTGTTGGGCTTAATCAAGTCAAACAAACAGAAGAATTCATATTGCTCCTTGCATGAAGCCTGGTGTCAGGCTTTATTATTGCTAAATTCTAGTTTAGCCCAATTAAGGAGTTTCCTGAGCCTAACCAAGCCCGTTAAAGACTAGGCCGTGTCTCATTACTCATTCTAGCTCTGGGGATGTTGTAAACGTTGATCCTTTTGGTAGTGGAACTATCTCTGTTCAGAGTTGACGTACGGTACACAGTTATTTGAAAATAAATCAAAATAATAATTTAACAAAACAAATGCTGATGCAATTTATCGAAAAATCTATTCTTTTGTGTTATTTTGCAAATTTATAGAGTTATAATTTTAGATATGTTTCTTCCTGTATTATATGAAATTTCAGAAACTAAGTACACTCTATTTATTGATCGTTATTATAAAGTTTTATAAGTTGCTGTCTTTGTCTACGTTGATGTGTTGACGATTCAATACACTTGAACATTCCACTAACGCCTTTTCAGGTTAACCAATAAGAGCGAGTTCCTCGTCCGCGCGCTTGTAAATATTTATACTTTCTTCTGCACATTATATGTCATGCCATGCCATGCCATAATAGCTTACATTTACCTCATAAGTAATATTTTTGAACTTTTCAAATTCATTTTTTATTTAAAGGACAATCAAAGTTGATTCATTGATATTTTATCTTTCTGGGCAATATTCGTTGATTTCTAGTTTTCAGGAACGAAAAGCAGGGCAAGATTCGTAGTTAGAGCCCAATGAGTTTGATTTCTGGTCTTCCCGTGTTTCATGTTTAATGTAGAACACATTTAATCACTTGGCCAAGCGTATAGACCCGATTCAAAAATTGGCAAATATCGCTTTTTTATTTTTATTCTTTTCGCGGTCCTCTCGCATGTGCGCTTACTTTGACCGATATTAGTCTTCGGAATTCACATCACCAAAAATCGCCAGCAAGTTGCAAGGTACAAAGGCTCGTGGCTAGATAATTTTGACGAACGGATTAAAATGATCACTTTTTCAATTTTGAAGGCCGTAATATATTAAACGAATAGTAAGAGGGGAAAAAAGAGGCATGCAACGAATCTTGTAATCAAGATCGGAGTGAAATGAACATACAGGTCCCCGAGCCCTAACTGATCGAGGGCGCTCACTATCATTAAGGAATTAAGTAATAGTCGGCTGGTGCATTAGTTCCACTACCAATTGATGAATTGAATAATAAAACTACTGCAAGTGCTCATGCATGGTCGTAGGTGATGGGTTTTGTTTGGTTTGACAAAGTAGCTCACCAAAACCAAAACCCCAAAGAAAAGAAACTCCGTCAGGATAAATTAACTGAAGGCAGCATGAGTGAATAGTCTTTAATTTTGGTTTTGATGAGGTCAGTCAACGTTGGGATTGGGCCAAAAAATAAAGTCAGTGTTGAAAGTTTTTGATGACAGGCAGGGCACATGATGGACCGTGAACAAGGGACGATGACACGATGATTGATAGTCGTTCCTATTCATCCC